CATCTATCCATCCATTTGTCTAAACCTAGTTCCAACTCTAAAAAATGGTAAAACCTTGTTCCAACCCTAAAAAATGAAAAGACCTATACATTTACTAAAAATCCCCTAGTTCTAACCCTAACATCTATCCCTCCATACATCTATCTATATATCCATCCATCCCTTTGTCTATCTACGCAATATATATAAAAAAACATTGTTCTAACTATCTATCTATCTATCTATCCATTCATCTATCTATGCAATGCAGGAGGGATCAGAGGGAGGGAGAGGGTCAGAGGGAGAGGGCTGGGAGGGAGAAGGGCGAGGGATGAAGGAAGGGAGCAGGGAGGGAGAGGCAGGGTCGGAGGAAGGGATGGAAGGAGAAGGGAGGGAGGGAGACATACCGGGCGACGGCAGCGGGGGTGGCAGCGCGCAGGGGTTGGACGAGATGAGAGTGTGGGAGGGAGAGTGATCGATCGGGACGGTGGGGGAGAGGATAAGGTATCATTAGTAGTAGCATTGGCTGGTGGCCCAACGCTACGGCTATATCTCTAGCAGTAGCGCTAGTTCCAGCCAGCCGCTACTACTACGTGTAGCCCCAGCCGGTGGCCATGGGACCACTTAGCACTAGCGCTGCCAGAGGCCCATCGCTACTGCTACTCTGGGACCTGTAGCGCGTATTGTCAACCAGCGCTACTACTAAGTGGTAGTAGCTGGGCCCATAACCAGCGCTACTACTAAGCTCCTGTGTATAGGCATTTCCCTAGTAGTGATAGGCCATGTTTAGTCTAGGAAGGATTGGAAAGTATATTAATTATGCATATCTAGTTTTTCTGGTCGAGTCTTGAAATCAACATGGTACTTGAGCCTTAATAATCCTTTCTCCAAATAGATTTGACTATAAATGCGTGTGTGCTTTGGTTCATTTCCCCTGCTCACCCAGACGACTGCACTAAGACTCGTTTGCCAAGCTAGTGGCACATGCTCACTGGTATAGCCTCATGTAACATATGCAATTTGTATCCCTAATTCGAGATGCTCACTAGTGTAGCCTCATATCAATCCCCTTCGGTACTTCTGGTTACGCGCGACACCCTACCGAGGTTACTGCTAGTAAGAAACACCGAGCCTTAATTTCCCTTTTTCCAAAGATATTTGGCTATAGATGTGTGTGCACTTTGGTTCATTGTCCCCTGCACACCCCGGTGACTATTCTCACACTCGTTTGCCAAGCTGGTTGGGCATGCTCACTCGTGTAGCCTCATGTACCATATGCAAATTGTGTCCTTGATTGTTGCACCAGGGCATACTAAAGGACAGTGCCTATTAGGTCAAGCCAAATAGGATGGCCTAGACGAGTAGATGATTTTTCTTCTTTAAGATTAGTATTTGGAGTACTTCACCAATGATGATGAATAAATAGGATGTGATGGGGGTTATCCAAAAGCATAACTTCCTTGCAACTAATCCATTTAATACCACACATTTCGCTACTAGAGGAGGTAGGTTTGGCTTCAAACTACTTTCCTATCAAAGGACATACTGGAAGCAGAGGGCTGCTATTGTATGGGTGAAATTTGGACATGAAAATAATAAGTTCTTGTAATCCAAAGCAACCGTAAAATACAGAGCAAACCACATTGCAACAATCTTGGATGAGCTAGGGCAGGATGTCAATAAGCATCAAGCAAAGACTATCATTCTTTAGAGGGCACTTAAGAAAAGACTTAGCAATATTTCTCCTATTTATGAGGCCTTTGATCTTGATGCTTTCTTGGATAGGTGTGATTGGTTTGCACAATTTGGAAGTTCCTTTTTCTAGGGAAGAGATAAATGAGGTAGTGGCAACCTCCTTCCATCTGGACTAGATGGATTTGATGGTGCATTGATCAAGGCCTATTGGAACATCGTTTCTGAGGATTTTTATAATCTTATAGATGATTTATTTTAAGGTAATGTCAATATCCCTTCTCAAATGCACTATAAAAAAAAACATCAAACTCTTGGCTAACATAGTCTTGAAAAATCATTCTCAAGTTGGTGTGCATCAACTAGTATGGTTTCTTAAAAACAAGATCCATACAAGATTGCTTACTATGGGCACCTGAATACTTACATATGCATGTGTCATCAGTCTAAACAGAAGATCATCATTCTTAAATTGGATTTTGAGGAAATTTCGGACCTAATTGAACATAACTCATTTTAAACATTTTAGAAGCTAGATAATTTTGGCAGAGATGGATTGGTTGGATGAAAATAATTTTTGGTTTTGGCACTTCTTGTGTGCTTTCAAATGGGATCTCAGGTAATGGTGTCCTACATGGGGGGGGGGGTGCTAACTACATCGGGTCCCAACTATGGGCTGGGCCGAGGACCCCCAAACTACCAACCAGTGGGCCATGCTTGCCAGGGCCCTCGGCATACTCAAGGTGGACTCTTCTAAAGACTTTGCGCCTACCCCAAGGCAGGATGCTATCCTCGGCATGTTCATCCCTTGATGTAACTAACCTAGGTGCAACTCTAGGTACCCCTTATGTCTATATAATCCAAGGGGCTTTATTCTGTAGAGGCAGATTCATTCACATAAGATCTCGAGGTAAATCAACCTACAGTTTGTAACCCATCCACAATCTTACCATCTAACCAAGATCACCAGCTCGGGACCCCCTACCCTAGATCTGCAGATTTATCTCTGTCTTCAGGAAAACTATTTCACTATAAAAGGGGAGTATGGCAGGGAGATTCACTCTCTGCTATGCCCTTTGTTCTTGTTGCTGATTTTTACAGTCCATCCTCAATGAAGCAATGAGAAAAAAACATCATCACAACTCCTCCAAATATCAGTTCATGTCCTGATTTCCTTGTCATTAGATATACCAATGACACAATTTTTGTTATGCCTGCTGATAATGTGCAATTGCTCCAGATCAAAAACTTGTTGTTGTGCTTTGCTTCTCAAACTAGGCTTCAAAGTAAGCTATCACAAATCTGTGGCAATTCCAATTAATGTTGCCTCATGTAAAATTGATTCCATAATAACACCCTTGAATGTCAACTGGGCACCTTTCCTTTCACTTATTTGGGGTTGCCACTCAACACGAGCAAGCAAAAAATATGACTTCAATGAAGTGCTGCAGATAATTGAGGGGAGAAATTTAGGTTGTTCAACCCTAATTTCATATGATGGAAGACTACAGCTTATCAAACCAGTTTTATCCTCTCCGCCTACCTATTTCATGTGATATCTTGCCCTTCCTCTAGGGGTAGTGGAACATATCAATAAGTACTTGAGGCACTACTTATGGACAAAGTTTTGATCTGAAGAAATGGATCAACTTTCATTGCTTGGGAGATGGTTTGCAAACCCAAAACTCATGGAGGTCTAGGAGTACTAGATATAGTCAAGCAAAACAAATACTGCTCCATAAAAACCTTCACAAGTTCTACAATAGAGAATATCTCGGGAATCCTACTAGGCTCATGCACCTTCTTGTGGTAGAATTGCTGGATCATTTTGGTGGAATCACACTTGAAACTTATTCCCTATTCAAGGAAATTCCAAAGTGCAATGTGGGCTCAGGGCAGTCAGTGCTTTTTTGGGACGATAATTGGAATGGCCAACCCGTAGCTCGTCCATACCATGATGTGCATTCTTTTTCCATTAGGAACAATGCTTCTTTGGCAGACATGGCCACCTATCAAGATTTCTCTCAACATTTCCATGGGCCACTTTAAAATCAAGCTTTCTCACAAGTCACAACTTCCTAAACTTGAGCAGACCCTAAGCCAGTTGAACTTCTCTGCAACTTCTGACAATTGGTCATATAGCTGGAAAACAACTACTCCTCTAGGAAAATGTATAAGCATATCATGGGTCACTCATACTCCCATTGCGTCTTCAAATGGCTTTGGAAATGTGCAAGCAGAATCATACAAAAAAATCCTGGCTAGCTCTGTATGATATAGTGAATACGAGGGGCCTACTTAAAAGAAAATCCTTTCACATGGGTTCATATGATTGTGTCGTGCAATGGACACACTGAAGGAAGTATACAATATTTGCCTTGGTACTATTCATTTGCAGAAGATTGGTGGGCTTCAATCTCTCCAAACAGACTCAAAGGAATTTCATTCTTGGATGAAGTGTTGTTCATCCATCAGAGTTTTTTAACACAATACCGATTTGAGTGCTTATATAAACGCACATACACTCATACCTATGAACGCGCACACACACACACACCCTACCACTATGAGCACCTCCAACAAACTGACCTGACATATCATCTTGAGATTTTACAAAGTCACCGTAGGCGCCTCGTAGTTGACGGGAACGTGTCCTCCCACTGATCAAGCATCACCCAAAATGCTTAAATAAATCCAGCATAAATGCGAGTTTATTATACCCCAAATACACCTGGTTACAACACGTTGACATACCCGTGTGGTGCACCTCCGAAACTTTGTAGTCACCCACTCCTGTTTCCATGCGTCCGTGACAGCATCACAACATTATTGCTATATTATCCACTCCTATTGAAGTTCAAACGCCAAAGGTACTACTCCGTTGGTGGCAGTCAATGCAATCATCGATCAGTTGGTGGCAAGTCAATGAATCTTTTGGCGTTCCGTCTCTACGACTTCTTTGTGTGTGCCTCTACGCCTTTTCGTTTCCCAGGATGCCATGAAGCCTGATCCAGCTGCAGCTATATATACAGACACTATGGTCTCTGAGTTGGGATAACCAAAAGGACCAGAACCCTGCATCCCACGAGAAGCCGAATAGGAACATCGCCAAGGAAAAATGGTACATAATCTGATACGACTGTTACGATCACATTTGTTCTTGCCGAATTTACTTGCTTGTAAATGCTACGTATGTTGATTAGGTTGGTCTTACTAGTAGAAACTATGGTATTTGTGCTGAAATGTTGATTAGCTTGTCTTCCACAAATGCTGAGCTGCTAATCTAGCTTCTGATGTTTAATTAGGACGGAAAGAAGCAGATCAAGTTCATGACTTACAACGTCTGGTGCCGGGAGGACCTTGTCGTCCACAAGAGGATGAAGGCCATCGGCGACCTCGTTCAGGAACATTCGCCAGACGTCATCTTCTTCCAGGTGAGAAAAAGAAACTCACGATTGATGGTCATGTGCTATATATTGATTCGCCTGCTAGATCCATTCTTACTGATCATGTTTCATTGTTCTTGGGACCGATGGCCAGGAAATCACACCGTACATCCACTCGATCTTCGAGAGCTTCGCATGGTGGAAGGACTACCACTGCTCACCAGTGCCCACAGAAGGCCAATTCTGCTTGATGGTACATTCTATAAGTTCAGTTCAAGTCCTTCAAATTATTAAACTCGGTGAACTAATGCGGAAGCTCATTTGCCGCTCGCAGCTGAGCAAGCTTCGAATGGAGAGCTACGCGCGCTGGAAGTTTGGCACTTCGCCGACGGGCAAGTGCTACCTGGAGGCAGACATTGTCCCTGGACCGCCTTCTTTGATGAAGCCGATCCGCATCGCTACGACCGAGCTCGAGTGCCCCGTGCCGCCGGCGTGGATGCACCTCAGGGAGCGCTACACGCAGGCAAAGCACGCGGTCTCGGCGCTGAGTAGCGCGGATAATGTCGTTCTGGGCGGCGACATGAGCTGGGATGATGATGCCGACTTGCCGTTTCCGCTCCCTGGAGGCTGGTGTGACGCCTGGGAAGAACTAATCCGTGAGCGTGGGAGTTACTACAGTTGGACTTATGATAGTTTCTGGGTGGAAAAGGTATGGGAGTTCAATGGCCACATAGTCCATCGACCATGGACCAAGAAGCGGTCAGACCGATTTGTGTGCAAGCTGCAAGACTACACGCTGAATACGATCCAGCTGATCGAGGGAAATCATGGTTTTGAGGCTTTTGGTCGTATTCGTTGTACGAACTACACGACATGCAACCACGAAGACCTGGCGCTACACGCGAGCTGTCACCGCGGGCTGGTTCTGACCATCGTCCCCAAATGATATTTCGTACTAAGTGCCCAATGAAAGTTATGTCCACCTGATCTTAATGTGTGATGACAATTTGTTGGCTTTTTGTTTTGGATGTCACCAGCATATTGGCATCAACCAAATGGTATCATTTCAATAAATCGCGCAGGAATGCTTTGGAGGTGCTACATACTCCTACATGCATGCACTTTCATTCAGGACCCGTTCATCTTTGTTGTACTTTGACGTATCCCTATATAGCCGATCAAAGCCATGAAAGTTATGCTATTGGGTGTGACTATTCTTCAGAAATATATGAAAGGTTACATTAAGCCCAACCAGTGACACAATCAGGGTAAAAACAACGGAACTGCTGTGTAGACGACAGATATGTGCACGACCATTGCACAATGAGCAGCTAAGGGTTTACTGCCGGCTGATGCCATGGAATGGATGGAACTGATGCAGTGTCGTGCACATATCGTCTGCTCAATATCGTGTGCATAGCAGTGCTCAAAACAATGCATGACACAGAACTTCTAGAAGTTTATACCTCTCAGCCAATCCGCAGATTTGCCGTGGCTGCCATGTGGGGCTTCCTCCCTTGGGACGCAGAGGTGTGGCGTTTGATTAGATAAGTGCATAGACACGTTGTTGCTTATATCTAGCACAACAGCCCTTTCTCTCCAAGAAAGAACGACGATCTAGCCGCCGCCACAAGGCGACTCGCCTTCTCGCACCATTTTCCAGCAGCTCTCCTTTGCTGACAATCTCTTGATCGCTAGTGGTGAGGAGGATCGCCGGATCTCACACACGTACGGACGTGTGTAGCTATAGGGCCCTAGTAGTTTTTGGTTTTTGGTCATTCGACTTCTGGCTTTGGCGACAGTGATGGTGGCGCAAAATAAAGAAGCTCCGGATTTTTCTTCGATGAGGCGTCTTGCTATCGATGATGGATTTGGACATTAGACTATTCAAGTTGGGATATCGTGGCGGCGGCGGAATCCCTGTGGACTTGTGTCCTCGACTCCGTAGTTGCAACGATGTGTTCGCCAACACCGATGCAGATCTTAGGAGGTAGTCCAGAAGCCGGCGCAGATTGTGCTCCACGTTGACGGCAGCTCTGCAACGACAGCATCTAGAAGATAACGGATTTGCTCGGTGTGTGGTTTGCGGTTGGCGAGTACAATTTCCTCTTTCGACGTTTTAGTCGAGCTGAGACGGCAGATCCGAAGTTCGATGGCGCGTTCGGGGGGCTGTCCCAGCCAGAGTCTTTCAACGACAATGGATTCGCCTTTAGTGAGCCATCTTGAAGGTTCGCAAAGATGCATATCAGCGGTGGAACCGTGTCTAGCTCGGATGAGGAGATGATCCGTCATATTTTTGTTTGGTGGCTGCTATGTTGGTGCCGGAAGCAGGTGGCATGGGTTATCGTCAAGCTCAGGGATCTCTTTGATCTTGATTGTAATTTTACTTCTGGGTTGGTGGTGCTTCGCGTAAAGGCTAGTGTTTTGGTGTTTTTCAATTTTGCCATGAGTATATACATAGCATGTAACTTGACATTTATTATATTATTGAGACACTTATTAAGACACAAAATAAATAACCGCATAAATTGCATGCTTCTGAAAAATACTTTGG